ATTTTAAAAATGTAAAATATAAAGTATAAAGTCATAAACATCTTTTCAATTGTGAAACATCATTTTATTTATTTAAATAGAAATTCTTTTCTTGCTGTGCAGCGGGCAAAAGCTATCGCTGGCCACATACTTTTCAGACGAGGCGCGCAATTGTTGCCCTGAGCAATTTTTAGCCAAGCGAGCGATACCAGCAACAACAACAACAACAAGCCGGACGTGTTCCATAAACAACACTTTGATTACGGCGACGCGGGCGCAGAGCCGGAGCCAAACGCAAATCGATGTTTTCATATGGAAATTGAATCAAAGTCAAGTCGAGTTGAGTCGAGTCGAGTCGGCTCGGCTGCTCAGAGCCAACAAAACATGACTGGACGCCAGTTGTCAGAGAATGTGGAGCACAGCAGCAGCAACAACAACAACGATAATAATACCAACAAGAACAACAACAACAATGAGCCTCAACTGCTGTAGCATGTGTAGCTAGCTGTTGCGCCCAGGCTTTACAATTGTGGCCAAGCAATTGGCCTTGGCTATAGCTGAGGCTGGAATCGAAACGAGAGTGCGCCGCATCAGGCATGGCCAGTAGCCAGTCTCAGCATCTTGGTCTCTCAGTCTCGAGCCACAGTCACAGTCACAGTCTGTGGCTCAGTTTTGAGGCTCATTCATGGGGAGCTCTTTTGTGGTTTTCGCTATGATTATTAATCAATTCTTTCATATCATTTGCCTTTGAATTGAATTCAATTTTTTGCTTCCCCTCTCTTAACCAAGACGTTTACAATCTGCAGCTGCTGTTTATCTGTCCGTCTGTCTGCCAGTCTGCCAGTTTGTCTGTCTGTTTTTCTTTCTGTGCGGCAGACCCATTTTTACTCTAATTAATTCAACAAAAGTTTCTGGGCCAACTCTTTCAAACAATTTTTGTATTTTTGCTTCTTAGATTTGAGGGCTGCTGCTGTGAAAGGTAGCGCCCATTATTTGCATGTTTTTGTTTATTAAATTCCATTTAATTGCCACATTTACACACACACATACAGAGAGCAAGTCAAATGATATAGAAGTATTTATAAAATGGGTATTAATGAAGCGATACGATTGTGTCTGCTGCTGTATTATAAAAGGGCAACAGATTTGAATGGATCTAGTCTTTCACATTTACATATATAATACCAGATGTATATTTAAATGTCATAATTGACTACTGCCTCTTGCTCAAGGGCAATTAGGCTTTAAGAATGTTTGCAAACGCAAGTAAGTCGAATAGCTGAGAAGAGTCTATGTATGTTATGTACGATGTCCACTTAGCTGCTGTTTCGCTACTACTGAAGCTTCAGATCAGAAATGAAAAAGTATATATATTAGTAGCTATCTTCAATATATAACAAGTAAGAAAGCTCTAGTCGAGACTGCTCGACTACGAGATTCCCTGAACCCTTGGAGCAATAGATATTTCAATAATTTTTCGCGTCTTTCAGCTTACACAAGAAACACGCACACACACACACACACAC